CATTCGTTGTGGTTAATTTAGTTTCTTACTCTGTGGTTAAAACACTTGAATGAGACACTAAACTAACACCTCTTCGGGACTAACCAAGGTTGGTTGCGTTTTACAAACTTGACCAACCCCCCCTAGGAGCTCCGAAAGGAGCGCCCTGCTCTAGTATAAGAAATATGAAGAGCCACTCTGTATCTCTAAAATCTAATTATTCAGTTGATTAAATGGATTTATTTTCTTGTTTTGTTTTAGATGCAGTCATTGTTCCAGAAACACCAGGTCCTTCATGTACAAAGCCAAAAAATGTTGTGATTATTCAGGAATCTCCAAATTCTGACATGGATAGTTCTTTTGGTATGACTAATACTTGTAAAACAAATGTATCGAGAAGAGACGAGTCCGCGGGAGTTTCGGTAACAGAGGACAAGGATTTCAAGAACCATTCAAAGGTAAAACAGGACACTAATGATGACAGTGTATTCGAAGCTGAAACGCAGTGTGATACTGACTGTCCAGATATGACAAAGTGTTCAGCAAATACGTTACACATGTCCAGTGTATCTCATAATGACGAGGTTTGTGCAAGTGAATCAGACCAAGAAGAAGATGACTTATTTGAGGCAGAAACACAGTGTGAAGAACCATCTCTGAAAGTTCTACTTAAGTCATCCAATGCAAATGATTCAAAGGATCGAAACTTAGCTCTCAGAAGTGAAACTGTAGATGCAGTAGATGATGACATTTATGAAGCTGAAACACAGTGTGTACCAGGTGACATTCCTAATGAAAAAATCGGAGTTAATGTTGCAAGTAAAGGGAAGCTAGGTTCAAAAATTGTTAACTCCCTGGAAGAAAGAAAGGTTAACATCGGTACTGCCGATCGGTTATGTAAAACAGATCGTTTTGTTCCTAATGATATGGGTGATTCACCTGATGAACATGGTGGTGAAATTTATGATGCTCCTACACAATACATCTCAGGGAATGGAGAAAGAACATCTTTTATGGGCAAAACAGATACATTTAGTGTCTGTAGTGAGCAAACTAAAGAATGCATGAGTTCTCATGAAGGTACTGATATTAAATTGTCTGTAGACAGAAAAGAAGACATCACAGACTCAAGCACTTTAACAGAAAAGAAAGGTGTTGGTTCTGAAAATAAAGTGGATGAGGCGCCCTCATCAAACAGAGAAGACCAGCAAAAAGAACAGACAGATAGTGATGGAAATTCAAAGGTCGCAAAAGCAGCGCTTGACGCGAGTTTCAATGAAGATAGCTTTGACCATTCTATGTTGGAAGGGGATGTTGACTTATTTACTTATGAAGGAACATGTGTTATTGACTCTAAAGAAGCAACGCTTGAAGTCAGTAATACTACTAAAACATTCAGCGAAGTACATTCAGAAGGAAGCAAGAGTGAATCAGTCAGCACAAATTCTAATGATACCCACGCTAATTTAGTAATGTTGTCTAAAGAATGTACAACCAAACCATCAAAATCTGAGAAAACTGTTTCAGGTTGTGGGACTTTTGAAAAATGTACCTCAAGTAATTCCAAATTAGTTCAAATTCAGAATGATGCAGGAGGGAAAGCAAGTGTACTTGATGCCAAAGAACAAAGTGTTGTACCATTGATGAAGTCACTAAGGCCCACTAATAAGGAAACTCCAAAACTGTCTAATGGATCAGGGGATGAAACAGATCCAGATGATATTTTTGAGGTTAAAGCTGAAGCTGATGTGTCACTAAATAGAAATAAGAAAGGTAGTACAAAGTCCTTCCATCGTTCTTCAGTCGAAAGTAGTTCAGATACTGTAACCACCATCAGCAAGATCAAGTCAAAACTCTCTGCACAACCAGGTAAAGATTCTGGAGACGAGACGGATCCAGAAGACATATTTGAAGCCAGAACTCAAATTCATGTACCTCCAGTTAAAAATAGCAAAATCGTCTCAAAACACTCTGAACCATCTTCAAGTAAAATCTCTCGTGAAACATCTGTCTCTGTTAATAGTAGTACACAGGTGAACATTGATTCTGGGAATGCTGAAGATCAAGACAGAATTTGTGAAACACAAAATCAAGTTGTAGAATCACAGGATGAGAAGAATAGAAAAATTACAAACCCTGAAGATTCATCAAAGCAAGACTCGTCCAAGTCAATTACTAGCAAACCTGCAGTCATTAGAACCAAAAAATTAGAGACACCAACACAATTATCGACTGAATTTAAAGATAATAATAACAATGATGATGATGATGATGATGAAGATATATTTTGTGCTCCAACTCAAATATTGCCAATTCCAAATGAAAACATACATGCTACAAAGCTTCCTGTGTCCTTGAGGAAAGAGATGACGGACAGCAGTGTTAAAATATCAACACAGTCACACAGTGCCTCCAGAGATCATGACGGTAATAATGATGAAGATGATAACATTTATGAAGCCGAGACCCAAATTGCAGAAACTCCAAACAGAAGTAGCAAAAGCTTAACTGAAATATCTGAGCCTGCCTCAGAGGCTGAGATAAAAGACATACAAGCGATCAAGAGTACTGACAGATTTATACAAGAGGATGTAAGTTCATCAGAAATAAAAAACACTAAAAAAGCGAGGGCAACCACGCAGTTAGATAATGCTGCTGTAGTTGATGATGGTGATATTTTTGAAGCACCGACTCAAATTATAGAAGTTCCAAGTAGAAGTTGTAAAGAC